CTCTCTGTGTTGGTCTTCAGGGAGCGGAATCGCTTTCCTGACCTCAGCAGAGAGAACAGTCTGTTGTTGGGATGGCTGAGGTCCTTCACGATCTTCCTGGCCTTGGTCCAGCACCATCTTTTATCGGTTTTCAGCGTTATTTTGTTATCGTTTTTATCGTTAACTCGGTTTTCCTGGGTCTTTTCACGAGTGATATGAATAAATCTTATTTTTTTCAGTACTAGTTTTATTTTGCTGTATTTATCCGTGACACTTTAAAGGCCGGTCCGTGAAAATATTGTCGGGCATAAACCAGTCCGTGGTGCAAAACAGGTTGGGGACCGCTGCTATACAACATTCACCTAAAGGTGCTTTATATTGTAACTGTTGAGATTTAAATATATAATAATCTGAATGCGTATTTGCTGATTATATTGTTTTATATAAAAGACCCAACTCTGAGTACAGTCTGTGCCACAAAGTACTGACAGGAAACTGCATGCTTTTGCACAGAAAATAGGACCTGCATCCAGAAAGTGAAACTAAGCAGAGTCTTTGATCGAAGCTTAAAGTGTGTGTGACGTCTATATAAATGACTAGGCTTTCTGTTTATGCTTCAGACCTGAGCTTGTGTGTTCGTGTGTTCAGGTCTCCATATTCTGGAATATGTAAAATTAATGATCATTTTTTGAGTTTGGCCACTTTGAGCCGTGGCTTTCTTGGCCGTTCAAGAATACAAAGAACTGAAATTTAATATAACCTAAAGGCAAGGCAAGGCAAGGCAAGTTTATTTGTATAGCACAATTCAACAACAAGGTGATTCAAAGTGCTTTACAGAGACATTAGAAACAAAAACAAATAAAAAGCATGATTTAAAATTGATTAAAACAAGCAAACAAACTAACTAAATAACAAACAAACAAACAAACAAACAAACAAACAAACAAAACAGTATGTAAAAAAAAAATCAAAACAGATAAAATCAGAACAATAGATAAAATCAGTAGTTAAAATGTAAGTTTTGAAGTTTAAGCTTAAAGGTGTGGATTTGGTGCTTTTATTCAAATGCAGCTGAGAACAGGTGAGTCTTCAACCTGGATTTAAATAAACTGAGTGTTTCAGCTGATCTGAGGCTTTCTGGGAGTTTGTTCCAGATATAAAGAGCATAAAAGCTGAATGCAGCTTCTCCGTGTCTGGTTCTGACTCTGGGAACTGATAAAAGGCCTCCAATATTGGAGAGAAAACCCAAAAATCACATAACACCGTATGAGCAAGCACTTGAAACTAACTTTTAGTTTTTTTCTGCTAACTTTTAGCAGAAACGTCCTTTTCTTGATGTCATTGGCTTCTATCTCCTCATTTGGCCAGCTTGTTATCCCAGGAGGTTATCTGATCACCAGCAGGGTGTAGGTATTGATTTTCCATTTAGTTGACTCCTCAGGACTTACCTCATCTCTACAGGCACTTGGTGGTTGCAGCTTTCCTAGCAGCCTCGTCATGGTTCCCGTTTGCCTTTGGGATACCCAGGTAATTGTAGGTGTCCTCAATGGCTCTCCAGACCTTTCACCACCTGATAAGATTAAACATTTATTATCTTTACAGGAGGGAACTGCAAGTCTCCAAGTTTATTAGGTAGAAAAATATTTAATTTCAAAAAAATTAAAAAACAGGAAAACATATCTGTTCATGTTTTGTCTTTCCTCCTCAGTGTACTAAAAACACATAAATTGTTAAATAAACCACTGTCCATCAGTTGCAACTTACAAACTTACAAATTTCAACAACCCACACGTAAAATGTAAATTTATCACAACAGTCTCTGT